CCCCTCCACCCCGTTAAACCCCAGCACCTGTTTTCTGGATTAATGTGCCTTGACTTCAATATTTCCAGGTTCACTGCTTTTCTTTTTTTTAACGACGATCTTTAAAATATTAAAAGTTTTCAAGCTTTTATGGATTTTCATGATTATAGCTTCCTTAATACGTTTACATGGGCCACGCATGTTAAACTAATTGCACGTTCAGTACAGATAAAGTTGTAATCTCTGTTTGTCTGTTAGTATGTCCGATCATAACTCATGAATCCCTTTACCGATTTGCCTCAAATTTGATTGGGAAAACGGGAGAACCACAGGAATGTTCTTAAACATTTGAATTAAGCGGGTCCTCTTGTAAAGGGAAAAAATGGCTAAACACGTAATTCAAGACAAAGAGCAGGCCTCCCAAGCTGTTTTTTATGTTTTCATTGAGAAAAACCAAAATGTTTTGAGTTACTAATATGCAACCCCGGATAACTTTGCTTTTTTCAAAACTAGAGAATTACCACGAGGTCACAAAGACATAATTTTCACATTCTTTCTTGTTCTATGAGTTTAAATTCTTAAACATTGTTAAAAAATTAAATTGCAATATATTGCATTTAATGTCAATACTTTACTTAGAATAATTATGCAGACATGCCTAACTATTTTATTGAGTTTCGACGGAGAAATCTTTTGGAAAACGTTATGTTTAAAAAAGCGTAATGTTCATAATAAATTTAAGTCTATGTTAGCAATCTATAATTTGGATAAAGAGAAAGCTTGAGGGAAAAATAATGGAAAGAATTGAGAAATGATTTCAAAAACAAGTAAGTTATTTTTCCAGCTTATACACATCATTATGAAACTATTGAATCCCTGATATTTATTATTATATTGGAACCAAAGAGAAAATGGGACGATGACCAAAGAGATAATGGGATAAGGACCAAAGAGAAAATGGTATGATGACCAAAGAGAAAATGGGATGAGGACCAAAGAGAAAATGAGATGAGGACCAAAGAGAAAATGGGATGAGGACCAAAGAGAAAATGGGATGAGGACCAAAGAAAAAATGGGATGAGGACCAAAGAGAAAATGGGATAAGAACCAAAGAGAATATGGGATGAGGACCAAAAAGAAAATGGGATGAGGACCAAAGAGAAAATGGGATGAGGACCAAAGAAAAAATGGGATAAGGACCAAAGAGAAAATGGGACGATGACCAAAGAGAAAATGGGATAAGGACCAAAGAGAAAATGGTATGATGACCAAAGAGAAAACGAGATGAGGACCAAAGAGAAAATGGGATGAGGACCAAAGAAAAAATTGGGATGAGGACCAAAGAGAAGATGGGATGAGACCTAAGAGAAAATGGGATAAGGACCAAAGAGAAAATGGGATAAGACCAAAGAGAAAATGGGATAAGGACCAAAGAGAAAATGGGATAAGGACCAAAGAGAAAATGGGATAAGGACCAAAGAGAAAATGGGATAAGGACCAAAGAGAAAATGGGATAAGCACCAAAGAGAAAATGGGATGAGGACCAAGGAGAAAATGGGATAAGGACCAAAGGGAAAATGGGATAAGGACCAAAGAGAATATAGGATGAGGACCAAAAAGAAAATGGGATGAGGACCAAAGAGAAAATGGGATGGAAGCAAAAAGTAAAACAAGATTAAGCTAAAGAGGAAATGGGAGAGGGGCTTAAGCGAAAAGGGGATTGAAATAAGAAGTAAAAATTGGATTGGGAAAATGAGATGGGACAAAAGAGAATCTAGATGGGGCAAAAGAGAAAATGGGATTGGATGAAAGAAAAAAGGATGGGACAAAACAAAAGAGAAAATGGGATGGGGGTTTATGGGAAAATGGAATGGGGCTAAATGATAGCCCCTTAAAGAGAAAATGGGATAGGGGTTGAAGAGAAACTGGAATGTGAGATATGGGAGATATGATGAAGTTAAAAAATCTAAATTAATTAAATTTTCATCATATCTTTTTCATTTCCGTTATAAATAGTTCCCTATGAATACTTCTCGGGGCAATCATGTTTTTCCACTCTTCCACTCCACCACTCTTCCACTCTTCCACTCTTCCACTTTTCCGCTATTCCACTCAAACTAAATAATTGTTCTAATAACTACTTCACTTTTCCCCTTTTTATTCCTCCTCCAATTAGTCCTCTATCTATGTGTTCCACAGTTCACTTATCTAGTATTCCACTCGTTGTGTTTCAATTTACGACAATTCCACTGCAGTTGTGTGTTACAATGCACCTTGAGATCTGGAGACTTCAACGCCGGAGAATTTAGCGCCAACTCCGCGGCCGGACTTCCCAGCTACCAATCAGGGACTCAGACATCTGGGGACATTTAACGGGTGTGGGTCGATGTTGGTGGGAGGGGGGGGGGACGGTTTACTTGAGAAAATTATCTCATATTTGGAAACCGGATGTAGTTTGTGAAGGCGGAAGTTGGTGTTGAGAGAGAACTGAGAAGCCTGATTAATCTTTTTTCTTTTTTGCTGTCATGATATAATAGGATGTGGTGGGTTTTTAGCCATACTTTGAAAGTGTTCTAGCTTTTTATCCCTAGGGGGTGTTATTACAATTTATGAAATGGATCAAATTGGTTTTAATTATTTATTGAAACACTTTAGTGACGTAATTGTTTTAAACATTTGTTTGTATATATTGGCATTTGGCAATTATTATAACGATGTATAGTACTTCAAATTTTTAGTTTAAATAATAATAATAATAATCTACTTACATTATTATTTCAGCTCTCCTTACATTATTATTTCAGTTCTCCTTACATTATTATTTCAGTGCAAATCCTCCAGTACCGAATACTAAGAATTCTACGAATCATTGTTTGTTTCGTATGTTTGTACTTACTTAGAGTTCTAACTTATTCGCTTATTACATGAGTACTTTAATAATTATTTAATTCATCATATTCCTTCACAAAATGTGTATTTTCTGTAGCTGTGTGTACTTTTATAGATATTTCAGCTAATTCCTTCACGAAATGTGTACTGTTTAGCGGTGTGTAGTTTTATAGATATTTCAGCTAATTCATTCACGAAATGTGTACTGTTTAGCTGTATGTAATTTTATAGCTATTCAGCTAATTAATTCACGAAATGTGTATTTTCTGTAGCTGTATGTACTTTTATAGATATATCAGCTAATTCCTTCACGAAATATGTATTGATTTTAGCTGTGTTTAATTTTATAGCTATTTTAGCTAATTCGTTAACGAAATATGAGCTGTTTATATCTATGAACACTTTTATAGCTATTTCAACTAATTCATTCACGAAATGTGTACTGTTTAGCTGCGGGTACTTTTATAGCTATTTTAGCTAATTTATTCACGAAATGTGTATTGATTCTAGCTGTGTGTAACTTTATAGCTGTTTTAGCTAATTCGTTAACGAAATATGAGCTGTTTATAGCTATGAGCACTTTTATAGCTATTTTAGCTAATTCCTTCGTGAAATATACACTTTTATAGCTGTATGTTGTGTACTTTCAAAGATATTTTAGCTTATTCGTTAATGACACGTGTTTTTTAACTTTAATAATTTATTTTGGATAAGGGGTGTGGGCACAAGCTATTTCCAGTTTGTTATCAATGCCTTTTCTATTATTTTGTGTTGCTCTCGATGCTAATGACATGTGCGCTTTGTTGCTATTTCAGGTAATTATCCCAGGACTAATGTGCTGATTTGATTATGACATGTGTGTGTGCAATGTGCATAGATTGATAATAATACAGATAGAACACTAGATGTTGTCTTTTCAAGGTTTAGGGCTTTTTCGTTTTTCATAAGCCCAAAGCAGTTAGAACGGTCTCTCTCTCTGTCTGGTAATTCAACCCAGCATGCGCGTAACTCCTTTGTGCTTCTTTCCTCAGGGTTATTGTAAACGAAAAACTCCAAAATCTTGAAAAGATGAGGTCTAGTGTTCTATCTGTATTGTTATTACTCTATGCTTGTGTGCTTTTATTGCTATATTATGGCTTATTTGGCGTTTATTGGTATTCTATAATAGATTTTTTGGCGCTTTTAAAGATAGTTCAATTTCAGCCCATTCACGAGTGCTCTTACTATTATTTTAGCTTATTACTGCATATCAAATAGATTATCAAGTACAATAGGTAGCAACAGAGAAATGAACCATTTATACACGACGTCACAAGTGTCAAATATAACAAGGAAAACGAAATTTTTTCACTTTTTTCCAAGATTAAGTTAAAAAATGTAAAAAAAGGGAATAAAGAACACATAAAATTCCACTTATTTTACTGTAAATTCTAAAATTATCACTATTATGAATAATTATGTTGACACTTGTGACGTCAGAATACAGCTAGACTGAGCGTGTACAAATTCTACATTGCCATCTATTGTATTAGAATCTGCATATGAACTTTTATCAGTGGATATTTTATTTCCTTGAATTTGTTAAAAACCGGAATTCTAATTCAATTTGTAAAAAATGAAAATTATCTACAAGGCCTTTTATTGAAAAATGTAACTAAAAATCAGTTTTTTTTTTCATTTATCTCATAAAATCTTTTGCTATCGTAATGTAAATGGACTGTCATTGCAAGCCTATGTCTCAGTCTAAGCCTGTATGTGACCCATAAAAAAGAGGATAACGTCATTTTTTTTTCTTTTCAAGCTGAAAGAACATACGTTCGGAGTCATTTGTAATTACGGTTAAGTTCGCCGAATGTTACTTTAATAGTCGTATGAAAAGAATTGGTTGGACATCTCCCGAAAAAAATGTAAGAATTAGCGTCGAATTAGCGTCGAATTAGCGTCGAATTAGCGTCGAATTAGCGTCGAATTAGCGTCGAATTAGCGTCGAATTAGCGTCGAATTAGCGTCGAATAAAGAGTTTCTAAAATCTACTCGTCATTCTTTTAAACTACCAACATCAAATATGGTCACTCAAAATCTCCGCGAGAAAAAAGAAATATGTTGGATTAAAAAGTTGAAAATATGATTTATTATCTCAGATCTACAGGAACTTGGAATCCTAAAAATGACGTCATTTTGTTATAATATTTTCTAGGTTAGGAACTCACGCATTTTAAAGGTTCAATATACGTAATTTGAAGCGGTATGTCCGATTCAACACGGCACCCTTTTTTACCAGGAGAGTTTTCATATTTTACTGGATGAAAACTGCTAATTTTGAAATGTAATATGCATGACATTTACAATAAGAAAATAGAATTAAGATACATCACATGATGTCGAAAAAATTATTGAAAATAATGCTTTTTGAATATTTATAATTTCACACTGGATTGTGCTTTAAAAAAACGGCCACGGAGCGCGGAGACTATATAAGGAAAATTAAATGAAAGAAAGAGAAAAGAAAGTAGAAGCAGGTGAAAGATAAAGATGACAATTTAGTTTGAGATTAATTAATTATTTGAAATGAAAACAACAATTTATAACATTACGTTGTCCAAGACAGTCCTGTTTAAAATGACGCAAACTCCTTCAGCATTGAATGACGCAAACTATAACGCAAACTCCTTCAGCATTTAATGACGCAATAACGCAAACTCCTTCTGCATTGAATGACTCAAACTATAACGCAAACTCCTTTAGCATTGAATGACGCAATAACGCAAACTCCTTTAGCATTGAATGACGCAAACTATAACGCAAACTCCTTCAGCATTGAATGACACAAACTATAACGCAAACTCCATCAGCATTGAATGACGCAAACTATAAAGCTAACTCCTTCAGCATTGAATGACGCAAACTATAACGCAAACTCCATCAGCATTGAATGACGCAAACTATAACGCAAACTCCTTCAGCATTGAATGACGCAAACTATAACGCAAACTCCGTCAGCATTTTGCCTATTACTCATTTTGAACTAAAGCAAAACTGTATGGTTATAAAATGTACATGTTTAAAATAAGTATTAATGAGTGGTGTAAAGTATAGGCACGTTAAAATCATCTAGTCTAGAAATCTGATGCAAGTTTTCACAGCTGCCTGAATTTCTGTGAATTCATATTGAATAATCTTTTTTAAGCAACTGAACTTGAAATCCAGTTTAAAAACTTTGAAATTATCGGAAAAAAGGGGCTGTTCGCGTAATTTAAAGTGAAACTAAATGCAAACCTGGCAAGGCTCGATTCCTAACGGTACCACTGAAACCTTTTTGTTCAACAATTTGGAAGATATTTTCGTACTTTTAGATTTAAAAAGGTTTTATTCGAATGATTTCTTTATGTTTTTGCTGCAGTACATATGCGCAAGTCACTTTTGTGTACAGAAACAGCATTTGAATCAGATTTTAACACTTATATACATTAATATCTAGTTCATACTTAAATCAGACAAAAACTTGAAGGGAACCAACTTGAGACGCGGTTTAAATTCATTAAATTTGGAAACTGGTGTTTCAGTTTTAACTTCTTTGGCTGAAGAGCTATCGAGAGGGGGGAAATGTTTCAAAAGGAATTGAGTTTTTGTCACAAACTCAAATCTTCTGATCTCAATACCTTTGCAACCTTTGATATTTCAAACTTAGATTATTTTATCTATAAGTATTAATAGTTTAAAATATCTAAGGTCTACGACATTGGGTTACAAAGATATAGAGATTAGAAAATCAGAGTTTGTGGCAAAAACTCAACTCTTTTGTAGTATTTCACCGGATGAACGTTATTTACAATTATAAATCATGAAATAAAATAAATTCTTGTGAAGCACCTTTAAAGTAACAAAATCTTGTCATTTTAAAAAGGAACAAAAAAATATATGATATATGAACACGGATATATAATATAATGGATGGATCATAGACGAGTTTCGATGTAATTTTCTGGGTGGGGTGTTATGCAGTACATTGGAGTTCTAGCAGACAATGGACCCTGGACCAGCTCTTGCATAATTCCTTTCTTATTTAGCCAAACAGTTATATTCCACTGAATTTTAGAAGGTGCGGGGGATGGTTTGTTTAAGTCCCTTGTGTAGTTTTCGATGTTTAAACTTAATTTCAAAGATAGCTTAATTATCGTTGCCCCCCGACCTTTTTAAAGGCTTTAACTTAAATAATACTGAGGATTCAAAATAATAAATATATTATTGACTAAGAGTAAGAAGGT